TCGGTCTCGAATCATAAAGAAGAATTATTTCTTTTGTTGAGACGTGAGCATGCATATACAAACGTGATTTATTCATTTTTTTCTCTTCTGATGGTTTCACAACAAATTATGATAACAACAGAAGAAAACAAATATAACATTCTGCTAGGACAAAAAAGTTATATCGAAATCAAATATGTCATATATAAAAGTAGAAAGAGCTTCTCTATTTAATCTGATAGGTTTTTTGTTTTATAATGGTTAAAAATACAATAATAATCTGAAGATTGAGATAGCAATTTGTTGAGTCGGATATTCGAATAAGAAAAAAAAATCTTATTATTATTGGCACATAAAAATAAAAAAAATTCAATAAGAATTTCTATAACAATTAATTGCATACAGATCATATTGATAATCATTTAAACTCTGAATGGGCCGAAAAGAACCGAAATCGAGAGCTCAAACAACATCACCAATAATAACTCATTATTGATGAGTCTGAAGAAAACGAAATTTTCGGATTCTCTTTTTTTTTTAAAATATCACGCAAATTTAACTGAATCTTGGTACGAAGTCAAGTCTCTAAAGCCACACAAACGATTTAATTATTATGAATTATAAGTAAAAGACCTTTACGGAGCATGTTCGTTAAATTTTCGACTACTTGTAAGCTGTTGAAAAGAACCAAAATTAGTTATCTAGAACTAGAATTTCATACTCTTTCAAAAAATATATATATAGATGCCTTTTGACTAAAGTTTGTCTCACTGAATATAAAACATAATAGAAATAAAAAAGAATGTCTACCAACAATTGTATGTATGTAGCCCAATTTTGTATTTTGCACTAAAATTGTTTCAACATCAGTTGTAAAGCTTTTTGTTTTCTCTTTTTGCTTTCTGAAGGATTTACTTCTTTCTACATGGACTTATACATCTTTTTTACGTTCTTTCTTCTTATCCTTCTACTTCACATGAATATGTTCAAATCGATTTGTTCATATATTATGTGTATCGCTAATCGAGAAAAAGAAAACAATGTTATCTTGCTGAAAATATTAATGATGCTCGAGTTATAATTCAAAAAACAAAAACCAAAGAACAAAGAAATTAATGTTAATAATTCTTCTGAATGAAACAAATAGTCTCCCTTGCAAAAACATTATATCATAATTATGTAAGCTATTTTTTATTTTCGAGCGAATATTTCGAGTCTAATCTAACAGCGATGGGCAAGTTAGAACTCTTATGATTTCAGTTAAATCAAGTCATGACTATATACTTTCATTTAGTCATCCTGTGTCTGAAGTATATGAAACTAACTCTTACTTTTTTATTTGTATTCTCTAATAGTTAGGACTATTTAGACAAGAATCGAACGCATAAGTCATGTAAATATATTCACTCTCTCGTCTTGACTTAATTTAATTCGAATCAAAACCTGAGTTGATTTACCATTTCTGTACCTCTCTAACCAAAACGATGTACTCAATTTTGATCCTAAATAATGTTTTTACTGTGTCAATAAGTATTGTTGCTCTTTCTGTTACTGTAATCACCCAATATAATCAAAAATAACTTTGTTCGAAACAATCACCATTAATATATTTTTTTCTTTTGTCGACTGTCATTATTGTTGTGCAACATGAGATTGAAGTAAAGAAAAATATTGTGATCTTGGCTCAATAGATCGTTAAAAACATAGACTAGTCATCGAAATTATGACTTGTACACGAGTAAAAAGGAGAAGTTCTATTTGATAATAGATTCCAATAATAAATTTTTAACACTTGATTACGTCTTTAAACATTTGCTCAAAAATAAAAAAAAAAGACTTATACAATTAGAATGCAATGTTTTCAAGGGAGATTATTTGTTTCACTCAGAAGAATTTTTGATATTAACCCTTTCTTGCCTTTGACTAAACTTGAGGGTTCAGATGGACGATTCGCTCAATAAAAGTAATCTTATGACCCCTAGTATACGTAGGAGAAGTTTGAATCAAATCCATTAAGTGTCAGTATATTAGATACATAATACGTTTGTTATTCTTTTTATTTGAAAAAATGTCTGAAAATGACAACAAAGCAAGGACAATAGTGTGATTCATATACATATATGAACACCGCATTCACGTCGTGCACTGTCAGTTGCATTGTCGTTTGTTTAGAAATTTGAAAAATCTATTCTAGTAGTTGATGAAATAATTCGAAATGATTAGTTTCAGCGTAACAAAGCCAGACTTTAGATTTCTTACAGCAAGTGCTGGTTTTTTTACGACAGCCAGGAAATTGACACCATTTACTTTGGAAATTTCTTGCTGTGCCATTTAAATCTTTCTAACCAGGAAAATGTCCAATTTGATCATATCTTGAAAAGTCATTCACACTAAGTGTCATTAATTGGACACCGGCAAGAGATATAACTAATTTTTGAACTAAACTCAACTTGAAGTTCAAGAGATCAATGTCAGAAGATGTTATTTGCTTATAAATGAGCCACGAGTTGATGATAGAAGAATCCAGAAAATTATAAAAAAATTTTCGATACCACTTGTTTCCTTTCAATTCAATTCGATATAAGCTCATGAACATGTCAAAATGATCTACTCCGCCCATGCATTGATTGTATGCGTTTATTGAATATGGGCGTGATATTGTTATGTGAGTTTTACTTTTCCGATCAAATCTTTCGATTTCACCTACAGGCAAGGGACCAAAACAGTTCGAGGCTACGTAAACTGCTTTATTGTCAAACCACTTTGTAACCACTAAGTGTCCGTCCTCAGTAGTTTGAAAATCAAATGATCCTCTACCCTGTCGTTCCAGTTGCTTATCAGATTTTAGCAAAGACGAATTGAACCGATTTGCTCTCATTGTAGATACGACATAATATTGTTTGGCATTTAGAAATTTGAGTAATTTAATGGTTGCGAAATAATTATCATAGCCAATAAATGAAGTTTTAGGTAAACTTTCTGTAAGTCGGATCACAACGTTACCAGCTGCTCCGACTTCTGAGTCTACAATTGTTAAATGATTGTCGCCTTCAACTTCAAACTGATATAAATAGCCTGACTTTCCTGCACGTGCATACATTTTGTAGCCCCATTTATGAGGTTTGGAGGGAATATATCTTTTCAAGCTGCTGAATCCCTTGTGAGGCACTATTTGTTCATCGACACTACAAATTGCCTCTGGAAATGTTGCTGATTGAAACTTTTCATTGAAGTGATTTATAAGTGGTCGGATTTTGAAAAGTGTATCATAATTATGATCAGTTTTTGTTGGTTCATCTTCATTGTTGTTAAAATGTAGGATCGATAAAATTTCATCGAACCTATGACGAGTCAAAACAGATGATATGAGTGCTTGTTTCGTAGGTTTCGACCAATACATTCGATGTCTTGGAAGACGAATTACTGACATATATATCAATACAGCAATAAATTTCCTAATGTCTATCTCTGATACATCAGAAATTTGAAATACCTTTTGGTTTTTATATCTGTTTGATTCAAATGTAATTTTTTTAATCAATGCAGCATCTACAAAATACTCAAACACAGCAAGCGGAGTTTTTTTGGATAGGTTGACGAAATAAGAGACAGGATTCGATTGGCTTTCAGGAAAACAAATTGAGTTAAAAGTTCGACGTTTCCATTTGATTTCTTCTGATTTCTTTTTCTTCGGAAGTGATTCTTGACTGTCTTCATCAGAGTTATGATCGATATGATCAATCATATGATCAGTTTCATCGTCTTCGGAATTTGAACTTCCGCTGGGTATCGAGATAAACATTTTTCAGAGTAAAAAAGGTCAGAACAACTGAAGCAATAAACTCTTGGTTCACCTGGACGTAATAATCGTCTGATAGTCTTAATAGAAGACTATTTTATTGTATTATTCTGTATCTGATCTCAAGATGCTGTTATATTCACTACACATTTACAAGAAAATGATCTTCACAGGTAATGATCAGTACAAATACCTGAGCAACGAAGAATGAAATTATACTAAAAATATTGGAATATACTTCAGTCAAATCGAAATGAAAGTGAATGCATTTAAATATACTTCAACGTACAGTTATAGAAAAGAGAATACGACATACGCTATTATCAGCGCGTGACGACAGAAAAGAAAGAAAAAAGAAGATATATACTCCAACGAATATTACTAAAGTAGAACAAACAAATTCTTTCTCTCATGACATGATCATAGTGCGTACCATAACATTATGTATTCATAAAACGTCAAAAATATTATTTTTATAGTAGAGAATAGTTTCAAACTGTTGATTTCGTGTACACAATATACAGACTTTAAGTAGATGTAAAATCCTTTTCTAAATGTCTCATAGTTTAAAAGAATCAATTTTTTATAAAATGGTATTTATAAATACCATAGGGCAAGAAAGGATTAACTACCATGAACATCGTTTGATAAATGTACAACGTAGTTATACGCTATTCTAATCATTAGGTACTTATTCATCTTAATCATACTCTCGTATACACAAGCACACAAATAATATGAGAATCAGAGTGCGATTAAAGTAAACAAGTACCACTTTATTAATAAGATCAAAATCAGAATAGTGTATGTTTTTCAATCACTAAACATAATATTGTCTAGCTACTCATGTCGAAGAACGACATCTTATTTGAATCTTTTTTGTTCAACTTCTAAAGACAAAAACCATATTTTTGCTAGATAATATTGAATTCAATAAAAATAAAATAACTTTTTCCTATTATTTAATCCATTGAACGTCGGATTGATCTCTAAAATGTCCTTCTCTCTTTCTGTCGATTGAGAGTTTTTAAGAACAAAGAACAAATGACCAATAAGAAATTCGTTATTGTATTTGTTAAAATCAATTATTGATATTTCCATCTATTTTGTTTTAAATATTATACGTTTACGAATTTATTTTAAAAAGGATTCTTTTTCAAAATACAGTTCCGATATTATTATTTTCCTTTTTGTTTTGTTCTAGAAAAGAGATAAAAAAAGAATGTCTGTACGAAATAGTAAAGTAGAGATAAATGGATGGGCAACATTTGATGTACCAAATCAATTTGAAGATCTTCAAAAACAACTTGCTACAGGTTCTTATTATGTACAAAATCTTCTTGATCTTGCTGATAATTATTAATATGCGTTTACAAAGTAATATTAAATATTCTATATAAAAGATATTTATTCTTCATTTAAGATATCTCACGAATTCGAGAACCAAGAGAATTACTTGATATATTTCCATTATTCTATAGTATTGCTATGTAAAAAGATTTTTTTTTTCTTATATTTTTTCAACAAAATTATTTTTTTAAAATTATTCATTTTGATAAAGTTTCAATCAGTGGACGTTCTCAAACAGTTGAGATATTACTTCGATGTAAGAAAATCAGTTTGTTATATGTATATATTTATTTGTTATATATTAAATTAGTAACGACAAGTGAAATGTCAGAAGCTCAATGACAAATTCATATTGGTCTTTCAGCTGATGATCGACGTTTTCATTTAAATATTATTAAAATGCTTTCATCTCTTCTTGATGAATATATTATTCGATTTGATAATGATCAATCAAATAAATCATTAGATTTTGATATGCTTGCACCAAAAGTATATTCGTTTATTTAATTAAAAGAATTTTATTTTTTGTTATAGAAAGGTAAAAAAGTTAAAGAAGCAGAAAATAGTGGAAAATCTACTTTAACATTTGATGCATTAAGAGATAAATGTTTAAAAGGTCTTTGTGATATTTTTCGATCACATATTAAACCATATTGGGATTCATCAATAATCGATGAACAATTTATCAAGTAAAAAAGTTATTTTCTCTGGTTTTTTTTAAATATTTACTAAAATCGATATACTCTTTGCAGATGTAACTAAACGATGTTATCATTTACTTCGTCGACAAGATATTACTCAAAATTCTATTGTTAAAGAAAATCTTTGATTAATACTTACTATAATGATTAATAAATTGGAACATGCATGAGGTAAATTTAAAAAAATAATTTTCTTATTCGGATTTTATTTTCTATTATTCAGAAGCTTCTATTCAATTTATTCAAGCAGTAAATTTTTATGATAGTAATTCAAGTTTACTTATTACTGTTCTTAATTCACTTTTGACTGATTATCAAGATACATCATTATCTATTGAATTATTAAAGTTTGTTTTATTTATTAATTTTTCTTTTTTTCCTCAAATATTTATTTTTAATTTAGAGAAATTTGTGAAACAAATTTTGTTGCAGCATAAGCTGATAATGCAGCTGCTAAAACAATGGCAACATTTATTATTGATATGGCTAGACTTGATCCACATATTATTCGAATACATATTGATCAAATAACTGATTTATTAACAGCAGAAGTAAATTTCAAGAGAAAATAAAAGGATTATTACTTAACTAGCAAATCATAGATGTGAGGAAGATGGGGTTGCACACGAAAGCGAAAGATGGTCGAAAATTTTCTAATAAATGAACAAAAGCTTTTTTTTCGCAGAAATTTTGAACTCTCAAGTGTAAAGATGAAATTGACACTAATTTTATAGGAAACTAATGATTCAGACAAATACTAAAAAAAGTAGCAGTTTAGAAATTATGGGCAAGTCCTTCTAATTGTTGTAGTAACATTTGCTACCTTAAGGACGAGGTTGTAGATACATCCTCAATATAGACAATCTTACCACAGCAATTAGAAGAACTTACTCATAATTTTGGAACTGCTATTTTTTTTTTGTATCTGTCTAACTTATTGGTTTCCTGTAATATTAGTATATTAAAATAGTTAGTGTCAATTTTGGCAGTGTTTTATTCAGGTTTTCTCCTCCAGAGGAGCAATTTAAAACTTTGAGAGGGCAAACACACAGTATGCGGCTTAGCAACTATGAAAACCAGGAGGCCAACTCTGTCTTTGGAGCGGCGCGTTCTCTTGGCCTCTACGTTAGATAAAACATTGAGTTTCTCCTGTACACCTGAGAGTTCGAGCTTCTGTTTTAAAAAAAAAAGCTTTTTTTTTTATTAAAAAATTTTGGTTCGACCATTTTTCGTAGATCCGGTTGCCTTCTACATTGAGAACATTAGAAAAAAAGCGATATCCCTTTTTCCAATAGACTTCCAGATTCGTCTTGTCTGCAATTTTCAACGATATTGCGAAGAAATTTTTACAAAAATTGTATCTCTATGAATTGATTTACACTTTTACTTATCTTCATCTATTCAATCTTCAATTTTCTGTATATAGGACCTGAATTAAAAATAAATCTAAAATATTTATTTATTATAGAGTCATCATATTCGTGTTGCAGCTTTAACAGCATTTTGTTCTGTTATTGAAAAACTTCTTTTATCAGATGATTTAGATGATGGACAAAGAAAAATGCGTAGTGATCTTTTACAAATATTACGTGTATGTTTTTATTTTTTTTTTTAAATAAAATTTTTATTTTAAATTTCATTAGGAACATGTATTTGATGTAACAGCTTTTGTTCGTCAACATTGTTTACAATTATGGATATCAATTGTACAACAAAAAAAGTTCCTGTTAGACAATATATTCGAGCATTTGAACTTGATCTTGATCGATTAAGAGATTCAACTTGTGCAGTTCGAAAAGATGCAGTAACACTTATTATGCATATGGTTCTTAATAATTTTTATTTTGTTATTGTATATCTATTTAATTGAGAGGGCTTTTATAAAGAATATATTTTATTATAGAATTCAACTCGAGCTCAATTTGAAGAAAGACAAAATGATGCTGAAACACAACTAGATGAACTTCGTACAGAACTTGAAAAATTAAATAAAAATAAAAATGAAGAAAAGAAAATTGAAAAAAAAATTCAATCTGATGATGATGATGAAGATAAAAGTATTAATGATGAAAATGAAATGAAAGTTAATAATAATCAAGTAAATACCTTAATAAAAAAAAATTGCAAATTGAATTTTATTTTATCAAATAGGAAGAAGAAAGTGAAAAAAATAATTCAAATGAAGATCAATCACTTGGAGACACTCTAAATCGAGTTAAAATTGAAGAACAAATAATGCGAGTAGAAGAAATTGTTATTTTATATAAAGTAATTATTTTTAAGTAAACAAAAGAACAATCTTTAAGAAATTAATTTATTAGGATGGTCTTCGATTTATGGATTTAATTGAACAAGCAAATCGACATGTTGTTAATTTACTTAATTCTCCTACATTAGGTAATTGTAAACAAGTACTAGATTTTTTTGTTAATCTTCGTCGTTATCGTCTTGTGTTGGCAAATATTGAGCAAAGTGTACGTTTAATGTTTAGTCTTATTTGGTCTCTTGATAAATCGATTTGTGAAGCAATTACACAAGCTTTTGTTAAAGTCTATTTTGATGTTGCACCAACTGTTCCTCCACCGTATGTCAAATTCAATTTATCAAATTTATATCTAAATGGAGAAAATTATCTAAATTATTGATTGACTCATATTTATCGAAGATATAATGTGGGCTGAGCAAGTCTTGCCACGATGTGTTAAACACAAGAAAAGGTAAAACTATTATATCTATAGTTTTTCAATGCAGAGAATTTGAAAAAAACGTTTGACCAGAAGAAATAACAAATCGAGGAAGAAACAGCGAAGTTCAAGAGATTTCAGTAGATATTAAAAACTATGACTTTAAGACTTCATAAAACGTCGAAATACCTCAGAAGTCCTCATAAGACCTTATGAGACTTCAAAATCAAAGTCTCTACTCTTTTCTCTTTACAACAAATGATACACATAATGAATTTGATACTGAATTAAACTTTATTGAAAATGGGATTCATCTCTATGCTTCAGAAAAGGAATGTAGATTTTTGTCTGTAGAAAATTTTTGTAATGCAATAGTGTACATCAATGATAAAGTTCTATTTGACAACTGGTAATAAATGAACAAAAATGACTTTGTGGAGGTTAGTGCAAGAAAGAACCAATGGACTTCGAGATACTTCTAGATATTTCAGTAGATTTTGAGTGAGTTCAAAAGATATCAACGGGCTTTATTAAACTTCAAAAGACTCCTGGACAATACATATTGCTGTTTCCTTATTGGGTTAATGACTCTTATTCTCTCTGCTCTATTGAAAATTATTTACTTTCATATAAATTCAAACAGTGTCTTTTATTCTATTCCCTAGGTCGAATAAGCATGGTCGGTAAAGAACCATTTCCGATCGTGTTTTGTCCTATTGTAAATAGTCTGATACTTAGTTTTTCGACCGTTTCATGATACGAGAAATTATAGTCATAATGCAGCCTGCGCTAAAGCGGTATGTTACGACTTTTCACGATCTCAAACTGTATGAAACATGGGACAAATTACATGACAAAAGATCTTCTCCTCTTCATCTTATTATCCGCTTCTTCATGTGATAACATCTATACTCCACACAAAATTATAAAAGTTTTCCAAAACTCTTTTGATAACAATTTTGAATTTTGCTCTGAAATATACGCGTAAAAGTCATGAAAATTTTTTAATAAAATAATTGTATTTGTAATTGATTTATTTAGTTTAGACGTATTTCACTTCATCAAGCTCGTGCAATAATTCGTGCACTTAAAGGTGCAACACTTTTTGAAGAATTATGTTTTGAAGAAATTCTTAAACAATTAATAAAAGGAAAAAAAATAGCAACTGAACCTATAACTAAAGCTTTATGGAAATTTTATAAAGCACCATCAGATGATAATACATGTGTCATTGCTGAAAAAATTCTTTCATTTATTGTTGGGTAAAATAAATAAATTTAATTATTTTTCATTTTGTATTTATCTAATAGAAATGAAATTAGTTCAAAATTAAATCATATAACAGATCTTATTCAAGCTAAAGAAAAAAATCGTCGTTTTGTATATATTTCTTGTTTACTTTTACAATTATCAGCAACACCAAAAAAAGGTTTTTTAAAATCTTAATATTTTATTTATTTATTTATTTTAAAATAGATTGAGAATGGTATTAGACCAAAACAATTTCGTTCACCAAAAATTCATCGTTTATTTAAAATACTTGCTAACATTCTTGTTTCAAATAATAACGAAAATAAAGTTTAAATTTTAATTCTTTATCTTTTTTTTAAAGCTTTCCATGATGTATCTGATCGACAATAGACACCAATGATGGAATCAGTATCTGATGTTATTTTTAAATTAGCTGATGGTTCAATTAAACATATTGAAAATATAATAAAAGAAACTTGCTGCTAAAACAGGTGTTAAACTTGGTGGTTTATTTAAAATTTCAACATCATCTCAATCACAATCTTTATCTATTGAATCAATGGATTTTCAAAATAAAAATTTCTCATTTTTTTTTTTTAAGAAATTTTATTTAGATGGTGGTAATGATAATGATCAAAATCAATTATCACAACATCATTCTCAAACAAATGAAAATTCAGCATTAATGTTAGTTCGATTTTTAAATTGTTTAGGAAAATCAGCTCTGTTGAAATTGTTTATTATATTGATTGTACAATTAAAGATGAACTTTTACGTCGTAAAGAAGCTAAACAATCATTATCAGATAATAAAAAATTACAACAAAAAACAAATAAATCAAATAAAAAACGAACAAAATGTAAAACATTAGATGAAGATGATGAAAATCAATCAACATCAATTAATGATACAATTAATAATTCATTAAATCTTACTGGAAAATTTAAATATTTTAAATAAAAGTTTTTTTTTAATTTAATTTAATTTATTTAGTTAAATTCAACAAATAATCAAACAATTGATGATGAGCAAGATGATAAAATGTGTCAAGTATTTGGTGATGCTGAAGCGGAAGATCCAGTTGATAATGAAATTAATTTATATATTCAATCATTATGTGAAAAAAAATTCATTATTAATGCAATATAAAAATATTCTTGAACAAGTAAACAATCTCAAACTATTATTTCACATAACTAATCATCCTTTAACAACGTTTACACACAAATGTATCGCTAAAAAAAACAGAAAATATCTCTTATAACTTCACTATTGCTAGAGCTCTGTCAAGCAATTTTTTTTCGTATGAGAAGTTACATTATCAAGCAAACAAAATTCAAAAGTATTTTTTTTCGCCTTTGATCGAAACAAAAAATTTAGTCTTTTTTCAATATCCAAAAATTATCATACAATAATATTTTCTTAATGATTTCAATTTCTTGTGTTATCGTTTTGATAAATATTTATTTTGATGTATCATCACAAAAAGACATAGACTGATGATATGGCCTTCATGATCAGCTGATTTGACAGTATTACTCTGCTTTTTGTAATGATGTGTCCAAATAAATGTTTATAACAAGATATGGATAATTCAAGAATCACAAAAATTCAAGTCATTAATAAAAACAAACACTGCATAATGTTTTTCGAGATTGGAAAAAAAACAAAATTCCTGTATTTATGATGGAACATACCCAACTGTCGGATGTCGTTTGACCCCATATTTTGGGTACAAACAGAGCTCTGTGAGACTAAGAAAAGCTTAAAAGAATTCGGGTCTATGGCGTACCTAGACGGAGATCTGATTATCTCAAGGGTAAAAAAAATGGACTTTTCACTGTTTTTTCAGCTTTTCTTGGTTCTTTGTATGGTTACGATCAGTAACTTTTAACATAGAGTTCCATTTAATACTCAATTGTGACTTGTTTTCACTGGCAAGAGTTGATCAAAAGCGAGAAACATCCTTGCATTTCATGTTTTTAATGACCTTGTATCTTATATTGGATCTCATTTTCGATAAGTATCGTTTTCATTAACTCATTTTTTTATGTTCCTGTGTATGTGCACAAAAAAACTGAGGATTCATATTGTTTTACATTACATTATGGTCTCGATTTAATAATATCTTTGTTTTGATCGATCGTTTGAGAGGAAATGATTCGAGATCGTAGTATTAAATGAAAACTCTATGCTAAAAATGATAGATCGCAACCACACAAAAGAACCGAAGAGGTTAAAAAACAATGAAAAAGTCCATTTTTTCGACTCTTGAGATAATTAGATCTCTGTCCAGGTACTCCGTAGGCCCAAATTCTTTTAGGCTTTTCTTAGTCTCACCGAGTCCTGCTTGTACCCAAATATGGAATCAAACGACGACCGATAGTTGAGGATGTTCTCTCGTTAGATCGGAGATGGTAGCTCAGAAGAGTGCAGGAAATAGAAGAGTTATCAGTAGAGCACGTCAGGTGTGAAATTTTGGTCTCGGTCTTGGACCCAAGTTCGATCCGTATCCTGAATACTCACAATGAAATTTTTTAATCGAACCTGATAGTCGCGTCTGAAGGTACAAGATACTTTTTTCGATGATTTGTATTCGGTGAATAGCACATCCTACACATTTCTCAGGCAATCTTGAAGGTGATCGTATAAGAATTAGCTTATCGAAGTCTATTCAGTTATTTATTTAGTTTATATTTTGAAAAAATCTAAGCCTTAAATCGTTTGCATTTCACACAATGTTTAGGCTTGATATCAGTTAAGGAAAGTCAATTTCTATTTGGAAAATTTCGATTCATGATCTATATAGAGTTTATTTTCGTTGATTTCAGATTTCTGATTGAAAATAATAAACTTTTGTTTTTAAGATTCTTCTTCATCCAAATGAATATCGTGAAGAAGCATTATAATTAAGTGCAGCAATATGTTTATGTAAATTTATGTTACTATCAGTTGAACTATGTGAAACACATGCAAAAATGTTATTTGATTTATTAAAAACTTCTACATTTGAAAGTGTTAAAGTTGCTATTATGGTTTTAATGAATGATTTTTATCTAAAGTAAATCTATCAAATAAGAAAATTCTCTTATTTCTTTTTCTAAAGATATTCATTAGCATTTCCTGTTTATTTCAATGATCCTTATGGTTGTTTACGTGATCGTTCAGATAATGTACGTTTATCAGCATTAAAAAACAATATCAAATTTAATTCTTAAAGAAATGGTTTTTGTTAAATTAAATATTTTATTTTAGAGTGAAAATCCAGGATTATCTCTAAAAGAAATTCTATCAGAACTTGGTGCTTGATAGAAATCTTGTGATCCTTAAGTATTATTCAAATTTCATTCAGTTTATTTCTATTTATTTCTATTTTAGACAAAACAACATTTTCAAAAATTAGCTGATGCTGAAAAAGCTGAATATGAAGAAAAATCCAATGCTTATAAAAACAAAAAAACTGGCAAATCAACTAAAATAGATCGATCAATTAATGAAGAAAATAATCAATCAATGGAAACAAATTCATCATAATTTATTTTCTTTAGGTTTTTTTTTTCTATTGAAATATTTTTTTTCTAATCAACTAATGTATCTATTTTATTTTTTTAAATCTATTTTATTTTTTTTAAATCTATTTATAGCGATATATTTATTCAAATAAAATGACGAAATGATGAATTTTTGAAAAATAAATTTACTTTTATTTGATTTTTCTAGTCAATAATAAGTACATCTTCAATTTCGTTGGTTTTGTCATGGTAAACGGCAAAATAGATTATTTTGCAACTTATCAAAAAAACGTAAATAAAAAGCACAAAAAATTATTAATTAATTCTTAAATTTTTCTTTACGTAAGAGAGATTTTACTACGTTTAAAAAACGATTGTGAAAAGAAACAGAAATTAGAAAAAACGATACTTGAAATTCTTATGCATGCATATCAAAATAAACAATCATATCTTCAAGATGAAGAAAAAAAAATTGAAGGTAAACAACCACATTTTGAACGTAAACAACCAGTTTATCCAGGTTGGCAACTAATTTATTCAGGTGGACTACCAATGTATCCAGGTGGACAAACATTTTATTCAGGTGGACAACCAATTTATCCGGGTGGACAATTATTTTATCCGGGTGGACAACCAATTTATCCAGGTGGACAACCATTTTATTCAGGTGGGCAACCAATTTATCCAGGTGGACAACCAATTTATCCAGGTGGACAATCATTTTATCAAGGTGGACAATCATTTTATCAAGGTGGACAACCATTTTATCCAGGTGAACGACGATCTTTTCAAGGTGGACAACAATATTTTGAACGTAAACAACAGATTGATCCAGATGAACAAAAAACTTCTAATGATAATCGAAAGATGGAGTCTGTCATAGGAAGGCTAGATGAATTAGAATGTGATATTAATAAGTCATTCGAATTATTGAATGCTTTAGACCAACAATTAGGTAAACAAAATAAAAACGTTTAAATTCGTCTATTAATTCTTTTTGCTTTTAGATTTAGATCTACAACAAGAACAATTAGGTAAACAAAATAAAAACGTTTAAATTCGTCTATTAAATTTTTTTGCTTTTAGATTTAGATCCACAAGAAGAACAATTAAATTAAAAACGAAAACGAAGAGAACATGATGGTCAATTAAATGAATAACTTCATCAACAAAAAACTTCAACACAAGAAGAAAAATTAAAATTTTTTTTTTGATTCATCATAAATATAAATCTCCATATTCTTGAACAGTTGTTCATCGTCTTGTGTCAAGGTTGTTTTTAATTTATAGTTGTTGTTTCATCATCATCGATAACAAATAAATTTTGTCGAGAAAAACTTCATAATTGCATCATAGATTTCTTGTTTTAACACTTGCCATTGAATATCATCATGTTGTTTTGTAATTCTTATGAAATCAGATCCAAAAAAAAACACATTTAACACATTCGGTACGAAATAATTGTCTCATTAAAAAACAAGACATTCAAAAAAAAAGATAGACTGTTTGTAACATACTTTGCAAGTGGAAAAGAATGAACTGATTGAATATTAGGAAAATCTCGAGTACCAACGTCTGATTCAAGTACTGGACGACTGGATAAAAATTGAGGACTATTAGGATTTGAAGTTTCTTGAGATTAAATAAACATTGAATAATCTATTATATCAAAAGTCTCTTTTTAACAATTATATTGACATCTGTTAAAGACGCGAGCACTAATATCCCAAACAATTAATGAAAAGATATGTTTTGAATTGAAAATATACAGTCTCACTATCTATCGAAATTCATTATACTAATATATTCGTGGCTTATGCAGATGAATAAAAATATAATAATATTTATGTAGAACATTCCAAAATTGAGAAGAAAAATTTCCGCGAAATACCGATTGTAATAACATGTGAAAAGATAAAATAGATAATTTCCAAAAAAAAAATCAATACTGTTTCCTTATTTTAAATGTTTTATTCTAAAACATAGCAGAATAGAAGTTATAATATAATAGTCAATTAGGAGGTGAAAAGAAAATTAGAAAATAGAATATGTCTTTAGACATTGCTTGTCAAAATCTCGGTATCAGCGATTACATGTCTTCGGAGAATATCCCTGGAAACTCAATTATGTCCTAGGGTAGAAGATATAGAGATAGATAGGTATAGGAGATATAGGAGATATAGGAGATACAGGCGATATAGGAGATATAGGAGATACAGGCGATATAGGAGATATAGGAGATATAGGAGATACAGGAGGTACAGGAGATATAGGAGGTATAGGAGCTATAGGAGGTATAGGAGGTATAGGAAATATAGGAGATATAGGAGATATAGGAGGTATAGGAGGCATAGGAGGTATAGGAGGCATAGGAGATATAGGAGGTATAGGAGATATAGGAGCTATAGGAGATATAGGAGATATAGCAGTTATAGGAGATATTGGAGATACAAGAGGTATAGAAGATATAGGAGGTATAGGAGTTATAGTAGATACAGAGATATAGGAGACATAGTAGACAGCTATGTATTTTTTATGATTGAATTTTTCAAGAATGGTTGGCAAGTGGCACCAAGATTTTTTATGGTTGATTTTTTCGAGCAAGGGTCAGGAAGTGGCACCAGTAGTTTTTGTGATTGATTTTTTCGAGCAAGGTTCGGCAAGTGGCACCAATATTTTTTATGAATCGATATTTAAATTCAAACACTATTGAATGATTAGCTGTATTAGTTAATCTATATCTCCTATATCGCCTATACCTCCTATATCTCCTATGCCTCCTATACCTCGTATATCTTCTATACCTCCTATATCTCCTTTACCTCCTATACCTCCTATACCTATCTATCTCTATATCTTCTACCCTAGGACATACTTGAGTTTCCGGCGATATTCTCCGAAGACATCATATGGTATAAGATGTGATGTTGCTTGCAATATCCATATCAATATATCGATTTTGAACTTCAACAATGATACCGCCCATAGTTAATAGATCAATAGTTGTTTCAACATGAAGTTTTTCATCGTTTTTACTAAATTATTTTAGTACATAATTAAGGTCATTACGTAATTCATCATCTATTGCTTCAGCTGTCATAACTCTGCATAATAATTCTCCTCGGTTAGAATCCATTAAACGATTCATAAACTATAACAAATTTTTGCCGATTTTTTTTCGCGTGCGATAATGTACATGATTGAGTTCGCGTATAAATATCTTTTATAATAACTCTGGATGAAAATAGAACTTACTAGTAGTTGAATGGAATAGAGTTAAACTAAGAGATAATACATCATGTAACCGTTGAAAATCTATACAAATTTATATAATTAGATTTACAAAATTCTTATTCAATATAGCCCAGGTCGAATTCACCCCATTGGATCCGATGGGAATTCGTCGGAAGTTGTGGGATGTCGAAAAGTGTCGGAATAGCCAGAATTTCTGTTGGAATTCTGAAATTCCGATACTTTCCGACATCCGACAACTTCCTGTCGGAATCCGATACCAAGGATTCCGACAACTTCTGATGAATTCCTATCGGATCCGATAGCTTTTCCGATGGAATCCGACGACATCCAACTGTCGGATTGTTCGTCCTGGGAGCTCATGTAGGTCACATATAGAACACAGCATAAGATCATATATGAAAACAAGATGTTGAAGCATGAAAATCACGTATAGTATGTTTAAAGAACTATCAAATGTAGTCTGATCTACATAAGTTTTTATATATAAATTATGAATTTGAAACCAATTTTTTTTATTACGAACAAACATAATCTATATAATATCTGATTATCAATCAAATTGGCTATTGAGCATCATCATAGTGTACCAATTGTGATCCG